GACAAATCCTCCAATAAATAAATTTGGTGTAACGAGTAGTTTTAATTGAAACTCCAACAATTAAGCCCACCAGGGTGCTACTCATTATAGACCTTTACAACTTACAATTAGATGTCAAATTTGGTCTAAGTACAAGCCACCTGTGCAAAGTTATTCAACAAAAACCTCTTAATTTTGACCAAAATTTTTATGCACACCTAAACAAAAATCACGTGAGCTATTGGTCTAAAATTTTAATACAGCTTCACCTAAGAGTAAAAGCGGACCATTTTTGTTATTTGGATTAAAGACGGCAGATTTAGAGCAGCAAAACTGTAGGGTGAAAGCACATGCAGACACATAAGTATTAGTTAGGCCAAGCAAACTAGATTAGCAGTTTCTAGCTCAAGTTTTCAAAAGAATCATACAGGTGAACAGTTATTATTCATTGCCAACTTTTAAGCACAAATTTGATAAATTGAACAAAAATGCAGCCTAGCTAACTAATGAATGAACATTTGCTTTAAAATTCTTATCAATGCTATAAGTGTAACTACAAGTTTGGCTGCCAATATATTCCTTTAAGTTACATGCTCAATCCTTTTTGGCCACACCTTTTTTCACACTTAATGTGTTTTTGATTAGATTAATAAATAATGGGACTGTGAAATGATGAATTAGATTGTTCCATAGCTGTCCAACAGGTTAGTTATTTTTGTAAATATTTGTATATATCTGTTTACCACTTTCAACTTATAGTAAAATCTACGACAATGACATGCACAATTCAAACACTTGACAAAACCCCCTACTGGAAAGTAATGGGTTATTCTAAGTTTCCAATCGCTCTGTTGTCAAGCACTCTTCAGCAACCTCCACAAAGAATGAGCTAATACACAGTACAGTACTAACAGGTCACAAAAACTTCAATACATAGCATATGCTTGCATTCTCCAACAGAAAAAGTCACTTTTCTTCTGAAATACCACAATGATTCTCAACTAGGAAGACTCACTTTGAAATTCTGCATTAAACTCACTTTACTACAATTGTAGAAGTTTTATTAAAAATTAATTTCATTGATAATAATAAATATTCAAAATTAATGTACATTATTAAAAAGGAAAGAATTATGGAAGCAATTTAGGAATAAAATGTTATAAAATAAGGTATATTATTTTTAATTTTAGCAAGGGTCTGTCTTATAACATTTTTCATTCTGGTGCAATATAAAGCTGTTATTGATTTATTTCTTTAAACAAGTGGACACATGCACTAAATATACTTTTTTTTATAAGAGACCCAATTGTAATGAAACTTTGTGATTTTTCCAAGCCCGTTCCATTGGCTGTGGTTTCGCTAGATAGTAGATAGGGACAGTGGGAATCTCGTTAATCCATTTGCAGACAGATGGACGTTAGCCTTATATATATATATATGAAAAAAAATTAAATGGTTTGGCTTGTGTTTTTTTCATGAAATATGAATTCACAACAAAATAAACTGTGATATGTTGATATCTTTAGTTTCCTTTCAATTCACATAACATCTATTTAATTCAGTGATTTTTTTGATAACTTCCACTGTAGGGTAGGGTACATTTTACAATGAGCTATAGAATTGGCCCCTAAAACTGCTTAGGGGCCCTTAAAAATGCATGTTTTGGGGGCCCGGCTGGCTACCTAAAAAAAAGTTAAGCATGAGCCCTGCTTAACATGTGACAATCCTGCTTCTATGCTTTGTAATATTGCCAAGTAGGCCCACATTAATCAGGTGTTCCTTGGTTAAGGGCTGAAAAGACCACTAGCAGTGAGGGTACACAAATTCAACTGATGATCCAAGAGAGAGTGATCATAGAAGCTTATAACTAAAACTATTTAAGATCCCTGTTAGTCAGAAATCCACCCAAAATTACAGGTTTTTGCTGGAAAAAATTAAAATTTCAGAATCATATTTTGCATAGGAAAATACCATAAAAAACAGATAACACTGCCATATGTAAAAAATTCAGGTGTTTTGAAATCAGTTTTCCATTTTTGCATAATGCAAGTATGATCAAAGTTACCAGAAGGCTAGGACCATGTGAAGAACATAAATACAAAAAGAAAAGAAGCTGCAAAAGCAGTGAAATGTGTTTACATTGTGATTCTTCAGCTATATGTACAGCAAAACATTGCCATGTTATCCCATAAAGTAGACATGGAGTAGTTCAAAAGATCCAAAAGCCAGTATAAAAAGAGAAGGAAGAGGCAGAGCTAGATGTTCTAATGAAAATGTGTGCTGAAGAGAGTTTCATTGCAAGATTTGGGCATGAGATTGAAGACGTACTAGAAGAAAATTAGAAACATGTTTATTCTCACTAATTATGCATTGAAATTGGTTAATAACATCATTGGAACTAAAATATTTGCTAAAACCAAAGCATTCTAAATTTTTCCTTTGATTTTCTGGGAAGTTGTGAGGTAGTCGATCATTTTTGCCTATTTCTTCGTGACCAGAAAGAATTTTTAAACTCTGAAAGTTGCTCTCACCTTTTTAGATCATTCCACACCTATTGCGCACCCCCCCCCCCCATTTATTTCTGATACTTTTCAAAAAAGTGCTCACAGCAACCCCAAGGATGGGTTTCTTGTTGACTGGGATCTAAATATTAATTGTAATTACTATTTCAGAATTTTATCAGCTCATCTGATAGAAATTATAATGCAACATTCATGCTTTCATTGACTTGCTGTATATTAATAATGTTTACATAAAATGCTTTTAACAGCATTTTTGTAAGGAAAAACTTCTGTCCATTACAGTGAGGTGACAACATAAAATATCTTAACAGTGACAGCATAAAATGTCATTCTCATCTGACTGACCTTCAGAAAAAAAAAATCCCTTTTAGCTAGTAGACATTAATGTAGAAAAGAAAGGACAGGACATGCGAACAAAGAATCAAGTACTACTAACAACATACAATTGACTGTGAATTCCTTTAAGGGTATAATCTAGAGGTGCTCTCCTTTGATTTTTTTAGTGACAGTCTGTCCATGACGGACTTGTTGAAAATTGAACTAACAAATTACTTCGGTCTCTGCTGGTGAACAGCTTTTGAAACTGTCACTGACAGCTACTTACCAGTCAACTGAAATGCTATTAGAACATCTTGTATTTTCACTGCTATCACAGTAGAAGTTATGGTGCGCCATCTGTATTTTCACTGCTCTACTGTATGTTGATAAATTTTATAGGAGCTGCTCTGATCATCTTATATTTTCATTATTAACATGGTAAATGTTATGGTGTGCCATCTATATCTTCACTGCTCTGAACATCTTGTATTTTCATTTTATCAGACAACATAGGCTTTTAGAAGCCACAGACATATTTATAATCTTCAATTAATCTTCTGTTTTACAATATACTAATCACTCCTCACCTAATCAATCAAAAGTTTAAATGCTTCAGAAATAAGTTCAATAAAAGTGAATAATAGCACTATTACAAATTGACAAAATACAGTTTTGCTACCACAAAAATCTAAAATTTTCTCGTGCAAAGAATGATACACATTCATTTAATAAGTATTACAGAACTTCTCTCTAGATTATCACCCATTTACAACACACACTGTAGAACTTCTAAAATATTTTGCTTTAACTATGGTAGATTCTGGACTTTCCAACAGATGATGTAACACTCCAAGAAACAATTAATGTCATCTGAAAACATTTCTTTGCCTTTGTTTGAGGGAGAAATCCTGTGTTAATATGCATATCCAATAAAATGATGCCCAACTAGGATTTTCAGGGGAAGTTAGATATCTTTAGTCAGGAAAATAAAGTTAGTAATTATTAAACAACAGAGGATTATTAATGTTATAAGAAATTTTATTATTAAATAATACTTAACAAAAAAGTTTAGAAAACATCTATATTTCTAACAAACTACAAGGTTTTGAAACTTACAAGTCCTTCAATAAAGATGCCATATTCTATTCCAATGTACTTTGCTGTTGCCAACAGTACTGGTGTTAGTGCAAGTTGGTAGACTGAACATTTTAAGAAGAAAAATCTTCTCCTAAAAGAAAATAATGAAAAATCAGAAAATTGATATGGATGATATTATATTACTTGCACAAATTCATTACTAAAAACTACAATCACAGAAAATGATTTTACCTGAAATTTATTGTCAACTTTAGTATATCCATATTCCAAAAAAAAATATGGAAAAACATAACATAAAAATATGAAAAGTTTTACAGATAAGAACGTGTGTTTGCTGAGTACAAAAAATTTTCAATCTTGTAGAATCTCTTCATGAAAAAAGTTTTAAGAAAAAAGAAAAGCAATTTTGAAAGTCGAGGAAGCTATACAGAGATAAGTGACATTTTAACTCTAAAACAGGATCCATTCTGAAATGATAGGACAGCTATGCAGTGACAAATGATGGAGACAAATTATATGCTAATCATAGAATTAACAATGGGGTCAATCTTGAAATTCCGGGAAAGCTATACATAGAGATAAATGACATTTTAACCCTAGAATTACCAGTTTTTTTAAACACATTTTTCTTAACTATTTGTGCACTAAATTGTTTGTGGCTCCATCATTCTATCAGTTACAGAATCCCTAATAACAAACAAGTATTACAAAAAAAAAGTCCTGTCAATATTAGAATTAATTCCATTAATTACTGTTGGGATATCCTCTGTATTTTGCATAGAAAATGAGTAATTTAACCAAGTTTTTCAATCAGTTTCTTATACTGGGGCAAGTTGAAAACAAATTACTCAGTATGTGAATTCCACTGATACTAAACAGTTTTGAAACAAGTTGGTAATACAGGTTTAAAATTCTTTTTTAAAAAGAAGATAAAGTAATGCATAATAACTTGTTTTGGGAAGGCAGAAGTCAGTGATAAAAAAGGTTCATATTGAAAATAATTTAAGTTCACACATTCTAAATAAACATTCTTTGGTATTAACCTATGGGGGTGTTATTGAAAGTTTTTGAATTTGTTTTTTCTATTCATAGTGGAAATACTTAACCTAATTGTATGAATTTCAGTAAAAACTAGCCAAACAGTATCTAGTTTTAGCTTAACAAAATCACCATTTTTTACACATTAAAATTTCCAACATTTTGAAGAGAGACACTGTTTTGAAATGTCATAAAAAATACCTTTCTTCTCTGATTAAAATTTTTCTTTTATTGAACAGAAAGTTTAATTTTGATATATTCAATAGAAGTTTCAATTTGTTTGATATTCATTAACATCTTTTTTTCACACTTTATTTTGCCGATTGCAGTAGTCACCACTTCTGGGTAAAAATTGTAAGAGCAACAGCAAAAACTAGTTAAATATATTTGTTATATATTGACATAACTTGTTTATAAACTGCTCTACCCAATGGTATTTAAATTCTACCTATAGCTCTTTTCAAAACTGAGCTTCATTAATAGTTATTCACATCATATGCTGTGAGACTTTAAAAGGGTGAGAACAGAATCCTGGGATAATAAAAACATCAGACAGAGAAGGACGATCACGAGGGACACCTTCGTTAATTGTATTTGCAAGAGATGATAGATGTTAAAAAGTAAAAACTTATTCTTGGGGATATTTTTGAGTCAAATATTTTTGAGCTGTAGTTAGAAATATCATCTTTTTTTCTTACATTTAGAAATTAGATATTCAGATGAGCACTTGACAACTTATAGGTTCTCACTGGTCCAAACAGGGTTAAAAGCATATTCCAATGGTTACAATCACTGGTCCAAATGGGGTTAAAAGCATATTCCAATGGTTATAAACACTGGTCCAAACAGGGTTAAAAGCATGATCCAAGGGTTATAAACACTGGTCAAAACAAGGTTAAAAGCATGTTCCAAAGGTTATAATCACTGGTCCAAACAGGGTTAAAAGCATGTTCCAAAGGTTATAATTCATTGCAAATTTAAACCACATTGTAAAGAATAAATTATTATATATGCACTAAACATGTAATTAAGCCACATCCTCAATAATAACATTCTGCACAGCATATTACTTGGCATTTACAAACAGTAAGTATATATATATATTTCCAGTATTAAGAAGTATAAGAGACTGAAACAACATGTAAATTAGTGTCAATCTGACAGTAATAGTTGAGAAGGAATTTTAGTCATATAAAAATGCATGTATGTTAAATGTGAAAGCAGTAAGAATGGAAAGTTCTATTGAAAGGGCCCTTACATATGTGAACAAAATTGATGCCAAGTTTGTTTTTAGAATTAGCAACAATTCTATATTTCCATAGTGCTCTAATAATTAAATCTGAAATTAAACAATTATTAAATCACTTATACACAGAATAATGTATTTATATTAAACTGTAAGCTAAATACCTTGTTAAGGGAGGCTTGTCACAACAGAAACACAAACAACATAATGGAGGGCCTTGTAAAATCATCTCTTGGCCAAATAACTTTCTCAAAATAACTTTTTCTCCACCACCATAGTTTATCATAAGTCTGAAGTACACAACAAGAGATACAGGGAGGTAGCTGAAAGAAAAATCACAAATAAAAGTATACAAATAACTATACTAATTTACATTTAAGGTGGGAGGCAAGAGTTTTCAGTTGATTCACACTTTTGACTTGTAGTTGGATGGTTGCAAGTTTGAAGCTGGTCAATGTCATGTTCTCATGTCTTTGAGCAACACATTTCACTCCACTTGTTCTAGTCTACCCTGCTGATGGTAAATTTGTGACAGACTAGAATCCCCTCGAGGGGGAATATTTCACCACTCTCATCTGTTTGTGCTGGAGTTCATAACTGGATTCTAAGTGCCATCTTGGCATGGGAGAGATTGAACTTAACATTTAAAAGTAGTTTATAAAAAAGGTCATTAAAGTCAGTAATACTTTGGTCACTATGCTCTAGTAAAACACGCAGTAAAAAAACCTATTGTACATTAGCTTCTTTACTAGTGAACCCAACTTGTGCTGACAACTACACGGACAGCAGATTTAAAATTATTGCAAATGGTCTGTCAACCTTTC